TAAGTTTCCAAATAAATAAGTAGTAAGAAGCGGCGTGGGGACCGCTTAAACCACTACACCATCCGTGGAGTCTCTCAGAATCAGAATCATCATCAATCTGATTCTGATTCGAGTTTCTCATTTTGAGACTATTCCTAATTTTGTTGCCCGTACTGATATTTAATTTTTGATTACCTCACGTTTTTAGCACGAAACGGGTTTAGATTAAATTTTGGCCTAAATACCTACGTAGATTCAATCTTGGAATAATTTAAACGGCGAATAGAAATACCAAGACCTACGGAGGAGACTGCTGACACGACATGGTAGCACAAACGTGTATTAAGCATCACTCTGACAGATATCAAATCTGTGTACAACCCTACGCTAGTAGGTTAATCTAATTGCAGTAATATTCAGAATATTGTTCCTAGACTGTTAGCATAGCTTCTGCTACACTAGCTTATGTTTACAAGTTGTGTTTATAGCGCTAATGTACCATAATGTACATGTTATTCCAGTCCTCCATTAAACTATCGTGTTTCTAAACAATAACAATCCCAGACATCTCACACACGGCTGTCTGATCCCAAACTAGACAGAGCCTATGGTAACCAGACTGCTGATAAACATACTTATATTTCTAAATACATACATATATATTATAGATAAATTACACCGAGACACAGAATAAACGGTCGTGCTTATTACATGATTATTTTAACTTGGTAGGAATCGAACGGACGACCACTAGGTCAACAAGCCCGTTAAAATGGGAAGCAATATTAACGAATAGGAAACAAAATTGGAAAAAAAGGGATCGTATGGTACAAATGGCGCTATTGATATCATATTTCCTATTTTTATTATAAAAGTAAAAAATGCCATATTTATCCAGACTTCTATATCTTTCAATTCTTTCTCCTCCTTTCTTCCTTTCTTTTGGCAGTCTTTCGTTTGAAATTAAAATATTCCAATCACTTTATTTTGTGCTAGCAATTAGCGCGTGCAGTGTGCAAGGAAAAGAGGTTGGTAGAATTTTGACGGGCTTGTTGGTCTAGTGGTTAGTGACCCTGACTGCTAAGCCGGAGGTCGTGGGTTCGATTCCCACCCAGGACAAAGAATTGTGTGATGAGCACGATCATTTGTTCTGTGTCTGGGTGTAATTTATCTATATTATGTATGTATTTAGAAATATATAAGTATGTTTATCAGCAGTCTGATTACCATAGTACAGGCTCTGCCTAGTTTGGGATCAGACGGCCGTGTGTGAGATGTGTGAAATTATTATTATTATTATTTTGACTAACACTTTTTCACGAGGGACATTTCCATATATAAACATCGTACCACATATATGGCACAGTTGTCAGATCGGAACCACGAACAAAGCCCTATACAGTATTGTTCTATAGTCTGGTATGCACACAAGCTACTACTAAAAGTTCTCGAAAATAAGAAGTTCGGAAGCAGTGAGTATGAGAACCAGCGTGGACTGCTGTTCTTAAGGCTTTATATTGTACTGTAGTTTTAATTGAAATAGGTAAAGTGAATAACAATTACATTTTATTCTACGTTTCATCATCATCATCATCAGCCTATCGCAGTCCACTGCTGGACATAGGCCTCTCCCATTGCACGCCACTTAGATCGATTTTGGGCTTCTTGCATCCAGCTCCTGCCAGCCATCTTGCGCAAATCGTTACTCCACCTGGCCTGTGGGCGTCCTACACTACGTCCTATTCCACGTTTACTTTATAATATAGCTTGCGCTGTTATATCCTTTTTTTCTACAATATCCCTTAATAATGTTAAATACAGTAGCATCGGAACTAACATATATCAAGCTTCTAAATCTTGAGTTTTTTATTGTTTAAAAGTGTTAAAATTTTATCAATTTTTTAAAGATGTTAAGAGGAATAAATTTACTAAAATCCGTTTGTCCACTATTACAAAGGCTACAAAGTTCCAAGATTACAAAAAAAAAAATTAAATCAATCAATCAAATCAAAAATGTTGCACAAAAAATATTTGTTTACCAAGATATACAGTTATATAAGTTATAAATTTTGTAGATATGTATGTTTATGCTTGATTTAAAACGTCATGGAGAAAATAATAAGTGATTTTATAACAATTAACTAAAAAATCAGAAACCCCGACACAAAAAAACTTTAAAAAAGTTTCTGAGGAGTTGGCTACCCCGCAGACTACTTGATGAAGCAGCAAGTTCCAGGTTACAGTGTAGTATAAAAACCATTTAAATAAATAAGTAGTAACCATTGGATGGATTTTAGTGAGATCCATTCATCACAGGAAGGAAGGAGCTAGGAGGAAGGAAGTGAGCTGATGATCTTCAAAATTTATTCCTAAGAACCATCTCGATCACATTCAAAAAACATCCGCATCGAAATTGGTGCATCCGCTCGGGAGCCATGATGCCACAGACACACAGATAGATAGATACACAGGTTAAACTTATAACACCGATCGTTTTCCGTCGAGGGTTTAATAAAAGGTTCCTGCTAAAGTAAAATCGAATTTCTGATGGTAATGTGCATCTTAGTATTCCTTACTAATCTGATTAAGACTAAATAGTCCGTAGTGAGTTTTGATGAGATGCTGTGGGGAGTGTGATGAGTTCAGGACAAAAACAGTGAAGGAGAGTGTGGTAATCTCCTTCAAATAACCCAAAGTTTATATCTTTCTCATATTTGTTAAAATGCTTTATTTTTTGTCGCATTAAAAATGTTGTAATCAACACACATTTCTTTTTGACGCATTAATATTAATTACTAGCTGACCCGGCGAACTCTGTTCCGCCTTAAAGGTAACAAATAAGCCAATTTTCGAATTTAATAAGTTATTTTTTTCTTAGAAAAAAAAAATGAAGTACATTAATCATTTATTATTGTTTCTGCATTTCAGTACATAGGTTGCTCTTCACTTAAGTACCTTGTGATACACGACATTTTTTGTTTTCTTATCAGGCGCAAAAACAAACAACGCAGATGGTCTTCCGACCCGTGAACATGCCACATATAATTCACCATGGGAAAAACATGGATGTTCTAGATTCAAACCACAAACTTTTAGGGATTGGCCTTGTGATTTGTTGATGGTCATGGCAAATGCAAGGCGGATCGGAAATTGAAGTCTTTTAAATTCAAACGGCAAATCGGTTGGGATCATCGGGATCCTCGGAATGAGAACTTCCTCACCTTTGAATTTTCCTTTCAGTATCGTCGCGTAAATTACATTGTTCATCAATTTTCTAACCACCAAACGCGTACCGTTGCACAGTTTTGGTTGGTTTATGTTTCGAAGCATGATTACTACGGAGCCAACCTTTAGGCGTAAATTGTGCGGTGGTAAGCCAGGCACATCCAAGGAGTTTAAAAATTCAATTGGATAGTTGGTGGCTTCATCTTCATTTGTGACGCAGTCAATAGATTTGAATGAATGCATTGTTCCAATGATCTTATTTTGAATTACATAGTTCAGGTCGTCTACATCTTTATTCTTAGGCGCTAAAATTGCTCGCTCACTCAACCATTCGTTATTTTTGTAGTTAGAAATAATGTCTGGAAATACATTGTTGATAAGTTCGTCTTTTGATGACACAAAATTACAGAAATTATTTGGAAATGATATCAATCCGCTCGATTCATCGACAGGTACTTGACCATTACCGATAGTCAGCAATTGCTCAGAGAATTCTTCAGCAGATGTATCATTATGCAATGCAACTCTCATGTTTGTTGTCAGCTGCAGTTTCTTCACATAGCGCCATAGATTCGACGATATGAGGCAAGCGTTTATTTCGTCCGCAGCCGTAGATCTTGGAATTACTGACAGTGTTTGGCGGAAATCGCCAGACAGTAAAATCATTGCTCCTCCAAAACATCTGGAGTCATTCCGTAAATCTTTCAATGTTCGGTTAAGTGCTTCTAATGCACGTTTATGCGCCATTTTGCATTCGTCCCAGATGATGATTTTCGATGCCGATAAAACTTTGGCCATCGCTGAATTTTTCGTAATATTACACGTTGGTTCTTCAATAGTTTGAAGATTTAACGGTAATTTTAATGCTGAATGTGCCGTACGGCATCCTTCTAACAATGTGGCTGCTATTCCAGAAGAAGCAAATGCAACCGCTATGTTGGATCTCGCACGAACAGTGGCTAAAACTACTGACATGAGGAATGTCTTACCTGTTCCACCAGGGGCATCTAGAAAATATAAACCACCATTACCATCATCGATTGCCTTCATTAAAGTATCATAAACTTCCTTTTGTTGGGAATTCAACAGGGGTACATTCGTTTGAACTACTAAATCTAATTCCTGGTGATCATATTCACGTTCCCGTTCCAATTCTCTATTAAATGCGTCATTCATTTCACGATTGGGCGCTGGCATTCCTAACCTGACTAATAAACTACCGCACATGAGGTAACACATATCTTCGATCATGAGTAAAGCACGATTATGTATCTCCTCATTCATCTCAACATCGTGATTTCTGGAAGTGATACGCATTTGATGTAAAATATCTTCTGACATATTATCCTTATATTTGTGCCACAGGTTACATGGGTTTGATGGAAAGCATGTCGAAATTATGATAGCGAATAATGTGCGTATCTGACTTGGAGATGCAGAGATAATGGCTTCAGCGTTGTCGAATCCCAATGTGTATCGTTTTCTAATAAGTTCAGTTCTTCACATGCAGCACGATATGTTGGGAATATTACACCATTAACAGTCCGTAGTGTCTCAAATGACGTTGGCCCACGCACATTTACCAGCAACCACCGCAAATAGAAACATTCATCATTCTTTGGATGAACTGTATACATGCGACCAAGAGCATCAGTAGAAAGCACATCCGGATACCCAGGAACCGCATCGCCTTGCTTCCGTCTTTGAAAATTCTTCGATGAAGGATTCCAAGTATAATAACGTGGCATCTCCGAATAAAGCAAACGGATCGCTTTGGCAGATCGCAAAGAAACTGGTCAATGTAGTTGCTGGAGGTGTTTCAGCACGTTGCATAGCATTCGAAGCCGTGAAATATACTCGTTGACCATTCTCCAGATGCACCGCCAAATGCATGCCAAATGCACAACAGTAGGATGACGTTCGTGAATTGGGAATGCGAATATACGCCAAATCGCTTCATTACAGTTTACATAACGACCAACTTGATAGCGTGAAATTTCATCGTTGGTATTTGAGGATTGCAATCCAAAAACCGCCATATCGCTGCCTTTCGTGACATATTTGCAAATATATTTTATGGACTTTACTGAATTGCAATACTCAACGTTGCAATGTGTCTTGAACGTTTTAGAAATAAGTCGCGAATATGGAACAATCCAACTGTTGTCGATAACGAAATCCATTCTTTTCACTTTTGTTGTGACAGTTCCACCGTTGTCATCTGGTGATCGACGCCGATACAGCGGATAACCATCGTTACCAGTGACGGTCTCCGCCGTAAATTTCTGTGGATATCGTTTAGAGCACTTTCCATCGATTATGCAAGGTGATTGGGGATTGATGGCGCCACACGGTCCATGAATCATATTTGTAATAACAACATCATGTAGGACTGGATCGGCTTCATGATCAGGAATCTCGGCACATATAATATCATCTATTTGGTCAGGTTGAATTCTTTCGGCTAACCAAATAAGAATATGTGCGTGCGGCAGGCCTCGCTTTTGCCATTCGATTGAATACATCCAGCATCGAGTATCTCCAAAGACGCGTTGTTTAACAATGAAGTTCATCAGGGACCGAATTTTTTGCCTGAATATACGTGCTGTGATGTCGTGTCTATCACTTGATGTTTGTCCGGGAAGCAGCAATTGAATAATTTCTATCCATTTTGGATTACAGGTAAAAGTAATAAATAGATCTGGCCGACCGTAATGACGAACATATGTCATTGCATCTTGCGCATATTCATGCATATGACGTGGACTACCAATGTACGTCGCCGGCAGAATAGTTAATCGACCAATATTATCTGCATTTCCTTCAGTACTAACTGCATCACGTAAATGGATGTACTCCTCAGAACGCAGTTTGGCTTGATTCAACCTAATGAAAGTTAAACGTTCCGTTTCTACTTTGACATACATGTCGACGCAATTCTGCTGAAACAATCGACGAAACCGCAGCAAATAGTTGTCAGCATTTTGACGAATCATCAAACGATATGCGTAATAATTCATTGATCTAACTTTCTTTGTAGTTTCTTCACCTGAAATTAAAACAGTAGATTTAATATTTCATATGTATTTTTTTTTTCATAATTAATTACCGTTTGCCAGTCATTTTTCTAATAAATAAAATTAATTATGATATTGATAATCACCATTCAATGGATTTATCATTTTGATATTAAAATAATATCCATCTTCTCCTTGCCAAAACATCAGCGGGTATTGCAATGCGTCATATGATCGATGTGTTTCAGATATTTTTTGCAGTTGCCCAGTATCGCGACGTGTAAGCACAATATCGCGTGTTTCCAATTGTTCACCAACAATCAGGATGGCAACTTCATCTATTGTTGGAGCGTTATATGTGCGTTCATGTGTTCCAGATGGTCGTTTATCTGCTTTGATGACAACTTTATAGTCATCATTTGGCATGCGCTCTAAATCACTCTTAAACAACCTGACAAACGCATGATGTTCATGAAGTAGTTGCTGCAAGTCTTGAAGAATTGCTCGCTTCATTCCTGCATTGATCTCTCCACGTCGATCAAGTTGTTCTTCCATGTTGCCCATGAAATATATTTGTAAAAATTTATGCTGTGCATCTTCGAGTGGTAGTAATGATCCAATTCGATGATGAATCTGTCCTTGTATCTACAAAATAAAAACCAGTCCGTATTAACCGAGTTATATACACTTTTTTCGGTTTGAGAGTAGAGTTCAGAATTAGCAAATATATTATTTCTGTAGATTGGTGAAAATTATGCTCAAAAATTCCATTACATACATACATACAACCCAGGCTTATAAAAGCGTATTAATAAATACCTTAAATGTCGGATTAAATCCTCGCTCTTCGATAATATCTGCCCCAAATGACGTCATTTGGAAACAACCATTATATTTTTGAGTGTTTGCAAGAAAGTGGCGTGATTCTGGTGTTTCGCCACAAAGCAATGAATACAATGGCTCAGGTGGAGGAGTCAACAATGGCAATTTCACTTTACCACTAAGGCAGCATAATCCTGGCGTTTCTCCGGCAAACTTTAATGCACCACAATACTTGCAAACAACGTCCATTTGCCCAATGCAAACGCTAGGATGCAAGCGTTTGCATTGGGCAAATCGATACAATCGTATCGAAACGCTGCTCGATTCAAATCAGCACTTGATAAATCTCTTGTTCTGCGTCGTAAATTATCTATTTGTTGACCTCTGTTGTTCGCTCGACGATTTTGCATTGTCGACCGAGCCGTTTCACGGGCTGCCTCACTTTGCTCTTGTGATTGAGAAGCACGAAGTCGAGCCATACTAACGCGGCGCTGTTCACGTGCAATTTCTTGTTCTTCTTCAGTCCTTTCATTAGCAGTGTTTCGTATCCTTCTTGCATTACTGCTTTGTCGGGAAAGATTGGATCGTCTTGGTCGCGGCATTAGTAATTAAACTTCACTTCACTTCAATTCACCTAAATATTTATTTAAAAACTCAAATTTTCAACCATTCATTCATAGACAAAATTACTTAGCTTTTTGAGATAGGCAATGGCTCTATTATTACATTATAATTGTTATTTATTTAACAGAAATAGTTTTAATATTGATTTCTTATAAAAATCAAATTGTCATCCATACGTCCATTACATAGCTGTCATTTGTGTTTTGTTATGCCAAGTCTGATTATTTTTTGTTATAAAAAGTTTTATAGTGACTGATGTTTTATGTCAAGTCACACGGGAACACTCTGGAACGGGATAAAAAGTATCCCATGTCCGTCTCCTGGTTTTAAGCTACCTCCCTACCAATTTTCAGCCAAATCGGTTCAGCCGTTCTTGGGTTATAAATAGTGTAACTAACACGACTTTCTTTTATATATATAGATTTGACACTTATGACAGTTATTAAACATTCTTTAGTTAAACTTCATACAACAATTACAAAACTAACAAAATTAGCTTTATAACAATTTGTTAATGAGTTTATGAACATTTAAAGTGAATTTAATTCGAGTAACCTTCATAGAGTTTTGAAGTGAATTTCTTTCGAGTTTCTATAATACCGTTTCCGCTTACGTATCACTAACGAATCTCTACTATTGTTCAACAACGGGCTGCGTATTCTGCCATTGTTCTCTACAATATTAAACACCATTAAAATGTGTCCAACGTATATTGCACAAAAAATGGAGAGTAAGTGATTTGAATTCAAATTTAGCATGCAAAATTCGTAGCGAGAATGTAGAGCACCTGCTAAGAAAGGTTGTTAGATGGCATTCGTATTGGAAATGCGTTGCTACCTTTAAGACGTTTATCATACAGGTTATACGTCTATTTCATGGGAGCGGCTCGTGAATAATAATAATATTGTACCACATTCACACAACGCCATCTAGTCCCAAACTAAGCAGAGCTTGAACTATGGGTACTAGATAACTGATATAAATACATATATACTTTTTTTTTTGTAAATACATACTTATTATACATAGAAACACCCAGACCAAATCAAACATTAAATGTTCATGCACACAAATGTTGGACTTGAGCGGGAATCGAACCCGCGACCTTTGGAATAGCAGTCCGTTACACAAACCACTACGCCATTCGGCCGTCTAGTGGGTTTAATTGGGGCGGTCCTCTGCGCCGCACCAATTATGGTAAGAATGCTGTTCTCACTCGTTTGCCTAGGTGTTACAATGATAATTTTGACGAAATTAACATCTTCCACCTCTCAAAAAGTGCCTTTAACAACAAGTCACTAAAAGGTCGCAATCAACTCAACTCAACTCAAAGGTCATACTTGTGAATCCAAATCAAGATTGTTTTTGTTAGTTGCTTTCTTTTGGAATACTTCTCACTCTGCACAATATACCTAAATTAGAGATAGTATATACTATTTATAATTGCCTATGTTTAAGTGGTGCACGCAATTTTTACTTGTCGGAAAACTTTATTATTGACTGAGAGTCCATTGTTTTCTTTTTTTTAAAGACAACTTCCGCACTAGGAGTATATCCTATGTCGCGGGGGACTTAACAAACATACATAAAACGGACACAAAAAACACCCAGACTCAGAACAACAATTTGTGGATCACACAAAGTGTCGTCCTATGTGGGGATCGAACCCACAACACTTAGCGTAGGAGGAAGCAGCGTGGTGACCGCTTAAACGACTACGTTATCCGTGCAGTAAAAGTCAAATGTTTAACTTCATCCATGATACGAGGGGTGATCAATAAGTAATGATAATCGAGTATTTCTAGAACGCACAAAAACCCAAATTATTTTTTTTCTGCTTGCTTATATATCCACTACTTCAGCTTCAAAAAAATGTATAAATAGGACACCATTACCGGGAGATACATTCATTTGAATACGAACTATCGAAGAGAAAACATCAAAATGGAGAAAAATGAAATAAGAGCTGTCATCAAGTACCTCTGCCTGAAAAAAATGTCTACCAAAGACATACACAGCGACTTAGAGGAAACATTGGGGGAGTCTGCTCCTCCATATTCCACAGTCGCACGCTGGGCAAAGGAATTTAAGCTGGGCAGAACCTCCACTGAAGATGAACATCGCGAGGGACGCCCTTCCACGTCCCTTACTGGAGAAAACGTCAAAAAAGTGGAAGATATCGTGTTGGCCGATCGAAGGGTGACCGTAAGGCATGTAGCTGAGGTCACAGGGATCTCCTATGGCAGCGTTCAAAAAATCATTGTCAACAAAATGCATATGAAAAAGGTCTCTGCGCGTTGGGTACCGAGAATGTTAACCGACGAGCAAAAAAAGAAACGAGTCGACATTTTGAGGGTGAATCTTCAAAAGTTCCAGGCCGATAAAGAATTTTTTTGTCGCGTTTTGTGACCATGGACGAGACCTGGATCCACCACTTTGATTCCGAAACCAAACATCAATCAATGACATGGAAACGAGCTTCCTCACCAACGCTGAAGAAATTAAAAGTGTCAAGTTCAGCGGGAAAGGTTATGGCGTCTGTTTTCTGGGATGCAGAAGGAATTATTATGGTGGAATATTTGGAAAAGGGGGCCATTATAACAGGCTCTTACTACGCAGGCCAAATAAGAAGATTGCGAGAAGCTATTAAGTCAAAAAGACGCGGTAAACTGCGCGCTGGAGTGCTGTTTCACCAAGACAACGCCCCAGCTCGCTAAGCCGCAGTTGCGATGGCTGCCATTGAAGAAACGGGGTTCGAACTGCTCGAACACCCTCCCTATTCGCCAGATCTAGCTCCCAGTGACTTCTACCTCTTTACTCGGCTCAAAGAACACCTCCGGGGCAACAAATTTGAGGACAATAGTGAAGTGATGGCCGCAGTAGAGGCATTTTGGGAGGGTCAAGACAAAGAATTTTTTTCTAAGGGAATCATGGGCTTAGAAAAAAGATACACTAAATGTATTAACTTGCAAGGAGACTATGTTGAAAAATAAAATACTTTTTTTATTCTAATAGTTCTGTTTCATATTGATTATCATTACTTATTGATCACCCCTCGTATATATAACATAGCTGTTAAGTTTCCAAATAAATAAAGTCGGATTTTTTTTAGTATTTGTATGTTGATCTGTGTATCTGTTTGTCTGCCTTTGACTCTCAAACGGATGGATCGTTTTTTATGGTGTATGGTAAAAATATAATGATATACATAATACTCCCAACGCTGTCTAGAGGCAATAGAATTACAGGCCATTTCGCGAAGAAACTTTGGAACAACAAGCCAAGATTAACCGCCAGACCGCGGCTTGCGAACCTGTCTGTTCTCTATTTATTAGTTTCTGAGGAACTTAAAACCAGGAATAGTTTTCAATTCATCAATAAACTCTAGTGATATGCAATAATGTTTAACCTCTATTTATAATACATTATCACCAGCTCCGGAAGTTCCAGTTCGCTATCGGCCT